CTCAGAATCTATGCATTATAGGGAAAAACGACCCGAACAAAACTTTTAGGGTTCATAAAGTTCTGTTTTTTCGTGACTTAAAATTTGACCTTGACCTCGACCTTGAGGGTCATGTGAAGGTCAACTTGCGTTTCTTAAATGGGAACCTCCATTTTTTATTACACTGCTTTTTTCTACAAATTAATTTGAACAACTTTTGTCTAAAACATGTTTTTATTTGCATAATATTTTTTTAGATATTTGAAGAAAATTTGATAACTTTTTCAATATTTAACTTACAATATCTCGCTAACTATTTGTCGGAAGAAAAAGTGGCACTAGACTTTTCTGCTCTATTTAATCTCAAGAATATATTGTTGTAATAGCGCCCTGACTTTTGTTAATTTATCGACTTTTGGAAATTTCAAAATCATCAAATTAACAAAAATCAGGGCACTATTGTAACAATATGTTCTTGAGACTAAATAAAATAAGAAAGTCTAGTACCACTTTTTCTTCCGATAAATAGTTAGCGAGATATAAGTTAAATATTGAAAAAGTTATCAAGTTTTTCTCAAATATCTCAGAAAATATTAAGCAAATTAAAAAAATATCTTAGACAAAAGTTGTTCAAATTAATTGGTAGAAAAAAAACAGTGTAACAAAAAATCCCGTTTAAAAAACGCAAGTTGACCTTCAAATGGCCTTCAAGGTCGAGGTCAAGATCAAACTTGAGGTAACAAACTTGAGGTAACAAAAGAACAGAACTTTATGAACCTTAAAACTTTTGTTCGGGTCATTTTTCTCTATAATGCATAGATTCTGAGATAGGGGGGGGTCCGTTACTTTTGGAAAACTATATATATATGTGTGTTTGAGTATATGTATGTATATGTGTATGTATGATTAGTGCACCCTTAAGGATCGAGCTATCTAAAGTAGGACTACGATAAGTGAATATACTGATGAGAGACAAGACGATACTTCGTTCTGCAACTTAGGATTTATCGGGCACGAGCGATATACCGATTTCGCGCGCTCACGGTTGACCGACTCGCGCCTATTTTAACTCGCTCGAGAAGTCGCGGAGAGCCGCATTGTCATAAGACGGAATGCCAAGATCCCGGCGAGAAAGTAGTTCGTAGATCTAGAGGAGCGCGTGGAAGGAGATCAGTAGGATGATTTGATGAATTCGAAATTTTACCCTCGTGCCACTTTTCCGCGCGAAATTGCCACAGACTCGCGGTTTCCCGTCAAAGCTACGTTGACGGTCGGAATCGGAGATCGTGATATAGTTTCGGCCGCGTCAAAGCATCCGACAAATTGCGGAAATTAGCGTGATGGATTGGATTCGCGATTTCACCAAGGCGTGTCTTTGCTCCCCTCCCCCTCCCTCTTTCTCTCTCTCTCTCTCTCTCTCTCTCTCTCTCTCTCTCTCTCTCTTTCTCACTCTCTTTTTCTTGATCTTCCGATGATATTTCGATGAATCAACTTGCAAATATTTCAGCGGTCGAAATAAATGATTTCTACACCTATATAGATATTATATAGATACTTGAGATTTTTATGATATGTCTTTTGCGGGAAATATGAGTTATCTTTACGAGAACCTCGACGAACCAACGACGAAACGTCTGCTCTAACCAGATGACAAATTGTTTACAATGTAAATTTATCAACATATTATTTCGTCATCAAGCAGTTTTACCAAGGAACACGGACATGTGGCGACGCAGAAGAATGTCGCGTGTGTCATACAAGTAACGATAAGAACGATATTGTTGACATACGCGTCATTATCCCGACACGATCATAATTCAATGTACGAATTTTGTAAAAACGCCTCTTTCCACGAGTAACGCTTCTAGTAACGAGGTAGTCGCTTCTTTTCGTTTGTCATATAGTTTCTTAACGACGAAACGGGAGTAATATTCGCAAAACCATAGCGTCTCGCATACCGTGTGTTTTTTGTTCTCAAGTCCATGTCGTAATCTCTCAGGTGAAATGATTTCTCGTTATCGCCAAGATTGACTCATTTTATGTATTGCTATACGCAATACTTCCGACTCGTTGCAATTCCGAGTACCACTTTACTAGTGAAAAAAATGAAGGTGAATTCCAGTGTTGCTCGTTTGTAATTATAATCACTATACATACATTTCTTCACGTTATATGTGGAAGTGAATTGATTCTTTTTTACGTGTTGTCTAATTTTTTCCATCTATCACACAGAAATTTTCTCTGTTATTTTATATCAGTATATTATAGTTATTTTATACCAGTAAACTTACACATAATTCAATCTATACACGTTTGCTACGTTTCAAGATGAGCCTTGTGATAATTTGTCGAGATCTGCACACCCGAGTTTCTTAATCTATGAGCTGAGAAGGAAATCTTTGATTAAAAAAAAATTTTATTTCGGCAGAAAGAACTCGTACGATCGCTCGCTGCCGACGTCGTAATGTCGTAAATCGATATGGCCGTAACGAAGAAAGAGGAAGACCTCAGTAAGAAGGGTTTAAAACGCGGCGCCGGGAAGAGCATTCTTGAACAATCGGAGCGATAATTACGACTTTTGCTTTTATTATACGCGATATTTCATTACCAGACTACACTATCTAATGTCCGAGCACTAACGAGTCTATGAAAGGTGGCTGCTCTATTAATTTCACACTGGCGATTTTCCTGATCCCGGCAGCGGCGCGGCGTGGCGTTTCCTGTAACGCCGCTTTCTCGCGGTACCTCTCGGACGCGATTTGTCGTTACGCTGTCTGCTACATTTTTCAGACCGCTTCATCTTGCCCGTTCGGCACACTCGGCGGGATAATTTCCAACAACTCGCACGGGGAATGTGTCTCTTACGATTAACGACAGAAATGTGCCGTATGTGAATGAAAGTTAGAGAACGCGATAAGGCTTTCGACAGTATTTTCTTCGTTATCGGCTGCTTTTATCGTCAACAGTCAAGAGAAACGTCTCGCATTTGATAAACGCCGGATTTGCTTCTGCGCTCCGCATTGTTCCTTCGGCAACGATAACGTAATTCACGTAACGTTATCCGTATGTATATATATATATATATATATATGTCCGTGAAAAGCGGACGCGATAATTACCGTAAATTTCTGCCGCCGTTATCACCGTCAGTCACTTCCGCGCGCGTTCGTACGGCGCATCGAGAAAACGGCGGGAAAATGTGCGAACGCGCTTTTCACGCGATTGCACCTTCGACGGCATGCACCTGCTGCAAGGTCGCTCGGCCTTCGCCGCCGATGAATCTTCTCTCCATGACTCCGTGAAAACTTCCATCCGTGCATATGCAAACGCGCGGGCTCGTCGGCACTCGTAAAGTATTACCTCGTTCCTGCTATCGCGACATTTGACTCTTATCGCGGAGTTACATGCTCATGCGTCTCGCACGACGGCATAATGCCCGTTTGCTTACATGAGGCACGATTGGAGCTCGCTGTTCCGAATTATTCCGGTTACTTGCGCCGGTTATATGACAAAACTATGCTAAATGTGGATATATCACATTGCCCCATCGAAACCCAGCTCGATTATTTTGTATATTTTATGTTACCGTTATTTTATCGTATCTCAGAAAAATATATTCATTCGACACTTCTGACATTTGTATTCGTTGTCGATGTGATACATCACCGGTAAAAAAGTTTAATCGACAATTCGCAATGTTGCTCGAATAAATGCTCGAATAAATTGCTCGTCTTTCCTTTTTGTTTTTTTTTTGGAGGAAAATGCAAGCGCATCTTTTTCGCGACATGTCGCTTTTATTTTCCTCTCTCTCTCTCTCTCTCTCTCTCTCTCTCTCTCTCTCTCTCTCTCTCCCTCCCTCCCTCTCTCTCTCTCTCTCTCTCCCTCTCTCTCTCTCTCTCTCTCTCTCTCCCTCTCTCTCTCTCTCTCTCTAGATCGGTCGCACACGAGGATCCGGCGGTGCATGCACGACGCACGTGCTGCGGTTCTCGGTTGTGTGACGCGAACGGGCGTGTACGAAAGCGTGAGCGAGAGCGAGAGATACCGGCTAAGAGCGGCGGCTAAATATAATCCGGAGAACAGAAAACACGCTTGATCCCCCCCGCCTAGAGAAACACCAGTTAGTCGCCTTAAAACTACCCACTGGCTCGCCGTTCGTTTTGGGGTTATACCGGTGCACATGCCAGTTCCCCTCCCTCTCCGCCCCGTGCCGCCCCGGACCTAACGTGTTCGCCGCACTCGTTCCCGCAACGACACGGGCTTGCAACTGCAGTAACTTGGCTGCAGCGCTCGCGCACGTATGCGCGTTTTACGCGCGTCGCTCCGATTACGCACCTGTGCGTCGACTGGAGGCGGCCATGTGTATGTGTGTGTGTGTACGTGCGCAAATTGCAATTGTGTTCGGCTGTTACCGCGTGCGCACGGGTAAATGAGCGAGCGAGCGTGTTCGTCGACCGGCCATTTAAAATCGCTGGCAAGTTTGGTGCGCGAACGATACGGAGGAGAGGAACTTGTGAACGCTCCGATTTATCTCTCGATATTCTCTCGGTATCAAGGTTGCTGCGTTGTTTGTAGTATTGTGTGTGTGTGTTACCGCTGAGAACGTAATTGCGTACGAATACCGTTCGTGGGCAAAAGTGCGCGCGAGCGAGGCCGATATTCGGCATTTCTGACGTATCGCTGTCGCGCGTTCTAACGTCGAATTTTGACACGCGATTGGCACGGTCGGAGACATTGAACCTGGGCCGTAAAGATATATACCTTGACATTTGGCGGTCGTGCCGCCACGAAGGTGAAATTGATGGAAATCGAGATTGCTCGACGTGTGCGGACTGACAAATAGCTCGCGCGCGACAGAGACAGGCGGAATTCAGCTGGAAATTTACCGAGGAATGTTGCTCTCTAGCTCATGCCGTATCGCACATAACTTAGATATTCCATATTATGCATACCTATCTGAAAGGTATATATTATATGCTAAAGTATTTTATTATTTTATAATCTCATTTATGGTAATGTCTCTCTGTCGAATGCTGAGATTGTCAAACTGTCGTGCTATTTAGAGAGACTAAGGAGAGGACTTTGCGAGGAATTAGCGTTGGTCCGCGAGGTCTCTATTTTCGTTGCAACGACGACGACGACGACGACGACATTTGCTTATTCTAGAAACAGTGAGAACGCAGGTCTGCGGCCTCGATTTTTACACCTTTACAGAGCGGAATGCGAAGCGAACAGTCGAGCCGAGGAATGTTGAATTCTATTTTAGTTTTACGAGAACGGCCCGCAAATGTGTGTGCGTCATCGACGCTATCAATTCCGCGAGGTATTAGAAGGAGAAGCCACGAGGCCGAGTGCGTAGTAATTCATTGTTTCTGCAAAATCCGCTGTTTCCCCCCTTCGATCTCTATCTCCATCACTATTCATCGCGAGGATAAGAACCGAGAATTAAATCGAAAGCATAGAAATTTGCGGCCAAGACAAGAAAACACGATGCCTTGCTGCTCGCGAAAGTCAAGTGCAACGTGGAACAATCTCGCGGAATGATAGCTTTGTTCCGAAGCGCGTAATAATATCGCGCTTAAGGATCCAGCGGAGGCAGGGGGGCGCCGCGCAATCTTCGTTAATTAGAGATTGGATCGACGAATCTCGCGGGTGAGGCGGCGCTGCGGCTCGCTGCAAAATCGCCACTGCGCGACGCGACGCGACGCGACAGGCTGCATGTGACCACGTCGGTTGTGCAACATGTGTACACGCGCCGTAATACGGACACATAATTGTTCGGCCGCGGTTGTGTAACGCGACTTCCAGCCGCGCCGGCAGTCGTCGGCGGAGCGTCGCTCCGACACGAAGCGCGTCGTAAAAACCGCGTAGATTCGGCCGCCGCCGCCGCCGCTGCGCCGCCCGCGTTGCGCGACGCGCTCGCGACGTTATCGATACTCGAACGGCCGCGATCGAGACGATCGAACGGTCGACGGTGAAGCCGCGAAATTCAATCGGCGGCTGTCGGCCGCGCGAGCTCGCGCGCGAACAATCGTTCTCGCTCACAACCGAACGGCACCTGCCGTGCAGCTCAAATCAAAGCAAGTTGAACGTCGTTGAACCTCGAATGCAGTGAACGTACACAGCAGATCGCGATATCGAGTATCGTTGCGTGTCGATCTATTTGGCAACTGTGCCGAGTAACGTCTCGGATCTCGTACTTTCCGCTTTTCCTTCTTGTCGATATTGACCGAGGACTAGGATCCCAAAATCCGTCGTGTCCTCTTCATTCAGAGATGGCTTATCCTCTGCATCGGTCTTCGGGGAGACTCGAGGCAGCGAAGTGAGTCAAAATCCAGAAGACCGTCGGACGCGGCGAAATCCGCTGCGGGCGCGTAGAATTGAAAACTCGTCGTCGTCGTCGCGCGTTCGCACGTCCCGCTCGCGATCGTCCGCGATTTCGCTCGACGAGCGCAATCGCGAGTGCAGCACGTCAGCGTGAATTCGCGCTCCCGTCGTCGCTGCGAGGTGGCGGCCGCTTTTTGCGCTCGTTACGCGAAACTGGCCGATCGTCATCGGCGGGCTCGTCTCGTGGCCGCGGCGCGCGCTATCCAGTGCGCGACGTGACGTCGGGACGCGCGTGACACGCTTCGTGCAACGAGAGCGTGAAGTAATGAGGAGAGAAGAGGCAGGATAGAGAGGAGGCAACGAAAGGCAAGGAAACAAGAAAGAAAAACAGAGAAGAGATAACGACGATTCGAGCAATTTCGAGCGAAATTGGAGCGCGTTTCTGCGCCGCGCGCGCTCATAATTACGTAATACCGGCCGCCGAGGAAGGTGCGACCGTTCGCGTCCGTCCGTTTGCATTCGATCGCGCCGTTGTCCACGTCGCGCGCCGTCCATCCGCTGACCCGCGCTCGTCATCGTCATGGTCGTCATGCTCGCCGTGCTCGAATAACACGCGTCTCCGCGCGAGTATGCGTGTACAATCTTGGAGCGAGCGAGACCGCTTCGAATTCCATCGCTCGCTCGACGCCGTTGCGCGCTTCCACGTGAGTCGCGCCGTGCCGTGTACGCGTTCCTGTCGCGCGACGAGCCGGTGAGTGGCAAGGTGAAGCGGCCCAGGGGGAGAGGATAAGAGCGAAGCGAGGTGAGGCGAGGCGAGGCGAGGCGAGGCGAGGCGAGGCGAGGCACTGCGCGTCGCGTCCGGCAAATTTATTGCCCGACTTGTCGCTTTCTTTATCTCGCGTCGCGAATATTGGATCCGCGCGGTGGGAGGGAGAGAGAGAGAGAGAGAGAGAGATAGAGAGAGAGAGAGAGAGAGAGAGAGAGAGAGAGAGAGAGAGAGAGAGAGAGAGAGAGAGAGAGAGAGAGAGAGAGCGCGATTTTGCGAGGCCGCGAAGCGTCATTGCCGAGGTCGTTACCGTAACGCGAATCCGTCCGAGGCTGTTTCGCCGTGTCACCTCGCGATTTGCCGCCTTGTGTGCCTGCAGGTGAAGCGGAGTCTCGTCGGATAACGTCGGCGATCGACGACGATTACGCGCGAGCGCAGGGCGAGACGCTTGGAAATGGTGCTCGCGGACTTCGTCGTCGGGGGATTCTGCCGAGGTCTCGAGTGGCCTTTCGCCTTTCGAGTTTGAGGAAACTCGCGGATCTCTGCTATAACCGTTGGACGTGTGTCGCGACGCCGCCGATGTTGCGATGTTGCGCGATAAGTGAAATTCGCTAGAACGCGAAGAATCGCAGTGTTTTCTTGTTCTGTGTCGCAGGCGAAATTTCCAGGCGTCGTCGGTGTATCCTTGCGATAAGCGACACTCGCTTGGGAGCCAGGATCATTGCGACTAAGCCGTGCGATCAGCGAAACTCGCGGGGTCACCCGTGGATGAAGCGAGTTCGTGTGGTGTGTCATGGCGCTTTGTAGCTGAAGAGAAGCGAAAGACAGATTATATAAATAATAATCGTTCATCGTAGTTGACGCACGTGTGCACGATAAGGAAAAGCGTTCGCGCGCGCGCGCGCGCGCGCGCGACGACGCGCCTCGCCATCGACGGCTCGCGAGTGCACGCATTGCTCGTAAAGCCACATCGTAAAGTAAAATGCCATGGAGCCGCTTGGAGTGGTTAGCGAGCTGTTACGCGTCGTACGAGAGGAAACTCCGCCGTGAGGCAGAAGAAATCTCGCACGTATCCCGGATTCCTCGATAACGAGACGCGATCTCGCGACGACGTGCGCGCGCTCGCTCGCGTCGTGCCCGAGGACGTAGAGCAGCTTTCAATTAGGACCGTCGACGTTCTTCTTCCTGCACGAACGACCGAGGCTGACGAGAAGAAGGCTGAAAAAGGGACGAGAAAGGCCGATGCGATATCGCGCGCGCGAGCCCTTTTCCGCTCAAGCAGACGGGAAAATGAACGCCGAGCGACGAACAAGCGGCGACGTTCTTCTTCCCGCTCTCGATAACAGCTGCGCGCGTTTCGCGAGACACGTTTCGCTTCACCGTTGCTCGCCGCGATCCGATCGCGGCCTAGTGGCGTTTCTCGCAACGGGATCTTGATAGGATCGAGCAAGAAGAGAAAGAAACGAAACGAAACGAAACGAAACGAAGGGAACCGACTCCGCGCGGAGGAGTCTCGCTCTCTCGATCTATATATAACGTCGCGGAACGGAGATGAACGAGGTGAGGCACGTTCTGACGGCTCTGAGGTCTCCCACGAAGAGCTCGACCTTGAACAACAGCGTGGGCGTCGCGACGGCGACGTGGTACGACGTCCCGGCGCCGACCATCGTCCACTGTCGCGAGTTCCGCGAGGACGCGGAATTCGGCGCGAAAGAACGCGAGAAAGGGGGCGAGGGGCGGCGGGCGAAGGGGTCGGCGGTCGTTCTCACTTTCGCCGAGAAGGACACGAGCGTGACATTCATCGACGAGGACATGGAAGCTGGCTGCTGCGAGAACGACGGCAACGCCAGGTCCTCGGAGAAGAACACGAAGATCGGAGGGTCCTGGTCTCCGAGCCACGGCGAGGCATTGTACCAGAACAATGTCGAGGCGGCGTTGAACAGCCTGAGCAAGGTCTGCGCGGAGTCGTCAGGACTCGAGACGAGTCCAGAGAGCTGTCGCGCGAACGACAACGACCGTAACAGCCGGAAGAGACACAGCTCCACGGTGGAGCTGAACGCCACCACGACGGTGAAGACTGACAGTGACGGGGTGCCGACGATAAGCTTCAGTTTCCTGCGCGCGGACGAGAAGTTCCAGCTGGACGATGAAGAGGAGGTCGTCGTTCTGGAGGTCGATACCAGCGACCAGACCGACTGCTCGGCTCATCAACTGTACGACCTCCCCAAGAACGCTGCCCAAGGCGACAGTCGAGTCTCCTCGGAGCGGCAAAGAAACGACAAGGAGGAGGCGGACGTCGATTCCTCCTCGTCGTCGACGGCACGTCAGGATCTTTACGACGTGCCGAAGCCGGCGAAGCAAGACGTCTCGCGGGATGAGGAGGAGACGCTCGACTGTAATCTTCAGCGGAAGGGCCGCGAGGAGAGTGGCCGAGGGACGTTCGATCTAGCCAAGAGAAGCCAAGGCGATCAGACGAAACGGTCGACCAGGTCGCTCAAGTCTGGCAGAAGGAGTTACGGCGCGTCCGACAGCGACGGCTACGACGCCGGCATAGCGTCCATGTCCGGCTCCTACTCTGACCCGGAGTGCCAGAACGAGGCGGCGTTGTCGGTGAGCGGCGGCTCGGAGCGCAGCAAGCGGCTCAAACTGCAGAAGAGGCGGCTCGGCAAGGCCTGGGGCAGGATGCGCAACTGGTTGCGAGAGGAAAGGACCAAGCTCGGCGAGGTGGTGAACAGGCACGCCAAGTTGCAGGCAGTCGGCGCGCTCACTGCCGAGGTAGCCGAGGCGATATCCGCGTTTTTCGCGTCGGAAGGGAAAAGAAACGGCATGAAGAAAGAGAGAGATAATAAATTGACACGTCGTTGATTAATACGTCGAATGCCGACGGTGGCCGTCGCCGTCGCCGTCGCTGATCGGTATCGGCGACGACCGACGTGTCCCCTGAATTTACACGCGAGGCGTAATTGAGCGGGTATAACGAGTCGTCGTCGGATCATACGGTCATTAGAGAACCGATTAAGCGAGATAGGAAGTGCGCGCTCTCGAGATTGAATTTATCTTTATCGTATCGTCGGACGTGCGGAATTTTTTAGCCGAGCTTTTGAAGGATGGACATTAGCGGCATTCGATGTGTTAATGACGGCTGAGATAGGTAGCGAACACGGGACAAGCGGGATCGAACGGAGTCGAGAGAGATTAGAAGCGATTCGCGAGAGATCGGGCGAAATTGAGGGGGAGATTCCAAAGAATCGAAAAGAATTTCGGTGTGTTATCCGTACGAAGGTTTTTCCAGAGGGAACGGATGATTTGGTAATTAGCGAGACAGCTAATATCCGCGCACGACGACCCGCACTCGATGCGAGCCTCAATAATCGCGAGTCGCGAGTTCGCGTACGATTTCGCATTTCCACAATTTCACTCCGCTTTCACCCCGAGACCCTTCATACGTCGCCCGAGTTACGGTAAACGTTTCCCGTTTACCGTAACTAATGCCAAGGTAGCGTCGAACCCGGACTCTCGAGTTGAACACGACACGAGACGAGAGTTTCCAATGTCTCGAGACTTCTCGATTCCTCGATCGTCCTCGGTCATTCCGAACGGCAATTCGTCGGCAAACGCGAGGCGAATCTCTCGCGATTTACACGCGCGCGCGTAAACGTAAAGGTGAACGTAAATGAAGGCGAGACGAGGTTCGCCGTCCGTACGAATCTTCCGGTGAACACCTCGGCGGATCTTTCAATTGCGAATTTCTCGCTCGAAGACGCAGAGCGAGACCGTTCCCGGGGTGTCGACGAAGAGCAAGCAGCGCGGCTTCTACGATCTGACGCGGGCTCGCACGCAGGAGTCCGGCTCCATCACCAGGGTGGAGGAATTTGGTCTGTCATCGGTCTCAGAAGAGGCGAACGTCTCCGACGTGGAGAGACCGGCGTCGGCGTCGCCCGATTCTGGCAAAGCGTCGGCGAACGGTGCCGGCGCGGCGTCGGAGCGTCATCGACAGTTACGCGGCAACCTGAGGCAGAAGACGGCCAGCTCGGACGACCTCTTGGACGGCAGGACGAGGCTGCAGCCGCAGCCGGTGTCCTTCAGCATGGACAAGCTCTGCTCGGACGCGGAGAACGACGGGGCTACGGCGACGATGACAGCGGCCGATGCTGAAGCGGCGAGGGATCACGGTGGGAAAGGTGGCCTGATTAAGAGGAGAATGCTGGGGTCAATCAGAGGGTTAATGGCCTCGACTCATCTACTGCAGACCTACGAGATCGAGGAGGTACTTGGCGCTCTTGTGTCTCGTTACTTTTCTCCGCTCGTTACTTTTTCCCCGCGCCGTTTACGGTGGCCGACATGTTTGCGCGTTTGTGCCACGTACTTGCGACGGGCAAACGTTGCACAGAGAAAGAGAAGGAGATAGGTAGAGCTAGAGAGAGAGAGAGAGAGAGAGACTCACGAGCGAGAGTAAAGGGCATAATCGTGTGTGTGTGTGTGTGTGTGTGCATGAATGTGCGCTTCGATCGGAAGCGGATTATGGACGCGCTCGAACGCGCACGAGTGCCATCGAGGAGATACGACGATTTGAATAATTCAAATTTAGTTAAAGTTAACAAAGCGGTAATCTAATATTGCCTTGGTAACGGACAAGAAGGAGGAGAAGTACCACGTAACGTCAAATATGAACAGAAGCTTTTATATTTCGGAAACTTTTTATTTCCTTTTTTGCAGGTAGTTGGAGCCTATTTTACGAGTCGCACGAATTTCCATATTTAACGGATTTCCAGCACTCGCGCTGGCGACCCGAGGAGGACTCTCGCGAGTGGTACGCGAGTAGTATTCGCAACGATAATGCCCGCGCTCCTACGCGATATATTTAGATTCGCGCATCTTCCACGCGGAGAAGTGTGTACTCTGAATCTCTCTCTCTCTCCCTCTCTCTCTCTCTCTCTCTCTCTTTTGTTGCATAATGAATCGGATACGCTATACGGCAGTGCCCTTGTCTAGCAGTCCAGATGTTATAGGAGTTTAAACGCGCCAGGCTCGTGACGAACGAGGTCGCGAATGAAGTTTATGATTCACAGTCGATTTAGGTTAATATCGACACGTGCGAGACCATTAGGGACTGCGCTGTCGGACAATGAAGATCGCTCGGTAGCTTTTAACAAGAGAGCCAAGGGCAATCTCTTCGCGACAGGTGACTTTAATGAACAGACTGGAACGAGAGACGCATCTTTCCCGTGGGGGGAATGATCGTGAATCGAGTGAACTATCGCGTCGCTTGACGCTCTTCGTACGTAAATGCGCGTTCATGGTTCGAGACGAAACGGACACCTGGTCTGGTCGATTGAAATAACCACGCTTAGCCGCTCGTGACTCATTCATCAATATTGAATGACGTATTATTGCTGAAAGTTGAGCTTCGCTGCTTCGGAATATCGCGAATCAAGCGCGCGTGATTCATGTCGCTCGTTTCTTCGTTTACGCCAGTCTTATTTCACTCTTAACGTCCGCTCAGGTGAGGCGCGCTCAACTTGGTACGGCTATTCCGCGAGAGTGAATTGCAGAGGGAACGGAAATTTGTGTTGCAAAATGCGCCGAATTGTTTTCTTCAATCGCACCTCGTGTCTCGAATGTATCTCGATCGATAAAATCAACTCTCTCTCTCTCTCTCTCTCTCCTCTCTCTCTCTCTCTCTCTCTCGCAAGCGCGATCTGTCTTGTCGCATTGACGAAAATTTCACTCTCACATGATATAATTTTTCAAATCTCGTTTTTCCGAATGAAACAGCAGGATATTCGTGCGGAAAAAACCTCGTGATTCACTGATTGTCTCAATGACATCAGCGATATTACAATGCACTGTCTGTCGAACTGCCGAAAGCTTTCGGCTCAAGATAAAAAACGGCCTTAAAGTGCCCATTACTTGTACGTGATTAAGGAACTCCTTATCCCGCGGAGATCTTCCGGCAAGCCACAAATGTATTTGTATTTTTATCGTCGACCGTCGGGACGCGTACGCGTACGAGATTGCCGCGTTTCCACGGTTATTTCGTAGCCAATACGAGAGTCAGATTCGGCCATTCCGGCGAGACTTGGCGAGATGCACGCGCGATAAATCAGCAACACGTAGTCCGTAGAAACCGAACGTGACTTTTTTCCTCCGCGAAACATGCTTCTCCGTTGCGAAAGTCTCTTTGCCGATCGCCGTTCTTATCGACGCGCGGCATTTTTCACGCCGGCGCGTTATGGCTTTCGCCGTTACGGACTTTTCTCGTCGATTCTCGTCGAAACGCTTCTTGTCGTCTCGTTGGATCAAAAGTCGCGGATGTGGATTCGTCACGCATGTAACTTTGCGAAACACCGAGTATCGGTTACACACCTTCGGCAAATATTAGCCGCGAGTTCCATACACGCGGCTTTTTCGCGGATGTTCCTTCTTCGATGGGAGGCAAGGGAGAGTAAGATTAACATTATTTAACGCTATTTAACCTTTAGAGGACCGCAATTGTTTTCTTCGACTTGTTTATTTTAAGTGTTAGAAATTTATTATTAACATCATTGGGTTGAATGACGAAAAAGATGGCGCCACTTTCGCGCCAATATATTGGCTTCCGGTCCGGAAAAGAATCAGGATCCTTCTTTTTTTTGGTTTTTCAACTTGATAATGTTGTTAGATATTATTAGAATAATTTTTTAACATCATTTTAGAGAAAAAGTTTGACAAATAATATGTATAAAAATTTTTATACCGCAATTTATGAAGTAGAAAGCAGTCAAAATGCATCATACATATTTATATACATCAATTTATTTCGCAATAAATGCATACTTTGTCGAAAATATAAAAATGAGCTTCTACAATACATTTAGCAATTTTTCTTGGTACAGTTTGAAGCACGGTACAAACGCAAAGAGGTGCATCGCATTCGCCCGCATTTGACCCTGTTTCAACAAATCGAAACTGATACAGTACAAAGTATAACGTGCAAGCGAATATAAAATATAAAAGTAAAATATTAATAAATTAAAAAATATCTTACAATAGTAAGTTAAAACCTGATAAATTAGTTTTCGGGCCTCCAAAGGCAAAAGCAGTTAAAAGCCAATAAATTGGTTTCCGGCCCTCCAAAGGTTAATGCGAAGAGAAGAAGGAAAATTTTTTACACACCTGCCGTGATTCCCATGATGGCTCCGCTCGGCCCGTTTTCCCGATACGATCGCAGAAAAGTTTCAGGAGAAAAGTTTCGACAAATTTGACTTGATACAATCGCCGCGAAACCGACGATCCGTAAATGAGACTTACCACGTTCTCGCGAGCGGGTTCAACCGCGTCGGGGAACCGCGCCGTTCGACGTTTTCCAGCTCGCGGCTGCTTTCCCCGCGTCGTTGGCAGCGTCGAAATTTTACAGATCGCTCGTCCAGATCGCGAGATTTATCGACTGTCCAAGAGAAATGGCGTTAAGCCGGGCACGAGCGCGCCTCGGAGCGCTGCCGAGCGTCGCGGAGTTCCGAAGCATGGAAAGTGTGGGAAAGTTGCGCGGAGAAAATAGCCGACTTTGTTTCGTGCACACGTGTGTGCACGTACACAGCCCGGCTTGACCGCCTTCCTCGCGCGTGAATCCTCCCGCGGCTCGAGGATCATCGAGCGCGCGCGCTCGCGAGTGCGTTTAGACACGCGCGGCCCTGAAGAACGGGAAAGACCGCCGCGCGCGTTCTGCACCTTGACTCGTCGGTCGCATTCGCGACCGCTCGTTGCCTCGATAGCGCAGTATGCCGGTCATTGAGTTTCTGCGCGTGCGCTTTTTTTCTCAATTACGTCGGAAACGTGACGCTCGATTCGTCAAGGACGAGGAGCGCCGTCGGCTGCGTAAACGGGGACTGACGGGGAGATTTTTCGACGGCTCTCGTTAGAACTGAACCGACAGGTTAATACGCTCACCTTTTTTTTTTTTCTTTCTTCGCGACTGTAGAATTATACGGGTGAAAATTGAGCAACACTCGGCGGCAATTATCGATCGGATCACGATGGACTACTGGCCCAGCGAAGGAAATCACGTCGTCCTTGCTCGTGATTTCATCCGCACCCGGCGCAACGCGCACGTGTTAACGCAACGTTCGGAATAACGGAAAAACGAACGGCTATGTCTGGCGCGCGCTGAAGGGAGAGGAAGAGAAAGAGAGAGAGAGAGACATTCTATTCAGACATTTCGTGACCACGTACGTAAAATTAAGCGCGCTGGAAAGTGTCGTGTGCGCTTGAGACGTGCACGCGCGTCAACGACCAACAGACACGGCTTGTCTTCGTGACCTCCGCGATTTCTCTGCGAAGCCAACGTGGAGGAAGTATATTGTCGGTAAAAGGGAAAGGAGTGATTCGTTAAATATTCCGACGGTGTGTGCGCGTGCGATTTGCGAGAGTGTGCAGGTGACTCGTGCAACTCGGAACATCGCTACGATTTACGATTTCGCTTGTTGTAACGATGCGCCACGATCGCATGCATGGTTCGCGCGTTTATGCGTGGGATACAAAGAAACGGAGATAATAGCTGCGCTTAGCGCGTGTGTATATTTCCAATATAAGCGCGAATGTGCGATCAAGCGGTCGAGATTAACTAACTCAATTTTCCAGTCATTAGAGATGAGAGGTGTGTACTTTATGCGCGCCAAGATTGGATCTTGAGTGAATATCGAGGATCGGAGGGACCGCGACGCAGACATTTCTTCGGTTAACCAGCGATATTCTTTCATTTTCTTTTTACGAAACTGATCGAACGCGTCGAACGGTAGCTTTCAATATTAGGTGTACAACTTTGCTTCCGTCGTTTCTTTTTTTCGAAATTCGAGGCTTTGTTGTAAAAAACTGGTTATACATTTATGATTCAAAGTATTGTCCATCGCTGGCCACTACTTTCTCCCATCTTTCGGGCAGCGTACGAATGCCGCGTTGAAAAAACTGGTCATCTTTTGAAGCGATCCACGAATGGATCCAATTTCTTACTTCTTCATAAGACCGGAAGTGCTGGTTAAGCAGACCGTGTGCCATTGATCGAAACAAGTGATAGTCAGAGGGAGCAACGTCTGGAGAATACGGCGGGTGGGGTAGGACTTCCCATTTCAACGTTTCCAAGTATGTCTTGACCACTTTCGCAACATGGGGTCGAGCATTGTCATGCTGCAAAATCACTTTATCGTGTCTCTCGTTGTATTGCGGCCGTTTGTCTTTCAATGCTCGTCTCAAACGCATTAATTGCGTTCGATACCGATCGCCTGTGATTGTTTC